TGCGGTGGGCTCTGCAAGTACGGCAGGGTCTGGCGCAGGTACTCGTCTGCTCTGCTGCTGCGCTCTGCCAGCTGGAGAGAGCGCAAGGGGATGGAGGGAAGGGTGGGTGCAGACTCTCCCCCTGCACCCAGGACTGGCCTTCCCTGCCAGGACACCCACGACGCCCAGCCAGCAGCCGGCTGGTGCCGTGGTTTGGAGGGAGCAGAGGGCTGGGTGCTCCCCGAGCTGCGGTGCCACCCTGCTGCCAAAGCCCAGCTGGGCCAGGGCTCCGTCGGCACCCCAAGGCTCGGGGAGGGAGAGGAGCCTGGAGAAGAGCCCACGGGGCCACGTGCCCGAAGGAAGGGAGCGTGTGTGGGGTGTGGGGTGCAGGCTGGCGGCGATGGGCTGCAGCAGTGGGCAGGGGCACAGCTGCCAGCCCTGCACACTGGGCATTGGGGGCAGGGGGCTTGTCCAGGCTGGGCCTGTGGCTTCGAGGCCATCCTTACCAGGCGCTCACTGACCGCCCATGGCTGCTCCCTCTCCAGCAGCTGCCTGAGCTTCCTCTTCTTCAGGAACTCGGTAGCCTGAAGCAGGGTTTCCCGAGAGGCCTGCAGAACAGCAGAGACTGGGAGATGGCACCGCTGCCCAGGGCACAGGGACCTGCGTCCCCTGCACCTGAGCAAGGCTCAGGGCCTTTCCTGGCCCCTGGTAGGAAGATGCAGCAGCTGGGGAACGCGTCCGTCGGCGGGTTCGGTGCCCGGGCAGAGGAGCGGGTCAGCCCCCGCCTCGGGCAGCTGGTGCTGCCGGAGCAGCAGGACAGAGGTCCCCCAGAGCTGCTGCTCTGTAGCCAAGGCCAGGAGGAGGCTGGAGCACTGCAGTCCGTGCGGCGCCAGGGCAGGAGGCAGGCGAGCCACCTGCCATGGGGACACCAGCAGGTCAGAAGTCCTCACCTCCGCCACGCGCCGGTTCTCATCATGCAAGTGGCAGAGCAGCGGGAGCAGGCTCTGGTGCACATGCGTCTTCAGTGGCTTTTTTCCCACTTCCTCTACAAACTCCATCACATGTCGGAAGAGGTGAATGGAGAGCAGCTGCACATAGTTGGCGTCCTGGTGGAAAGGGCAAGACCTCAGCACCGGCTACTCCAGGCCCACCTGGGCACGGGTCTGAAAATTCACAGGGCGCAAGGTTTCCTGGCGGCAGCCAGTGCCCGTGCTGGGGGTCACAAAGCCTTACGTTGTCAAAGAGTGGCCGGAGCCTCTCAGCCAGCTGCAGAGCGATGCGGCTGGTAAGTGGGACGTCTTTGGCCAGGAGCACCTTCCTGAGCACAGAGAGGGTCATCCCGGCCACCTCCCCGTCTGCATCCTGCAGTAGCTCTATGAGCCTTGGCAGCAGGAACTGCATTCTTTCGGCCTGTGTGGAACACAATGCTGTGTTGTGAAGCCATAAAAGACTGCACTGCCAAAACCGCTCCGGCGGTTCGACCCCACGCTGCTGCCTGAAGCCAAAGGCCTGCCCCAAAGCCAAAGGCCTGCCCCGACGGACTCGGCCAGGTGAACGGGGAGGCAGGAGACCTGGGAGCAGCTGCCACAGCTCCCGAAGCCCACCCAAGTCCAAGCTACTGTGTTACCCAGCACCCCTTACACAGCCCCACACCGCCAGCACAGCTTCAGGCGGCTGCCCCCTTCTCACCATCAAGGGTCTCTTGCAGAACAGGATGAGGCCTCTGAGCACCAGGCGATGCATCACTCTGCACTCACTCCGCAGGTACCTTGACAAGAGCTTCAGGATGCGGTAACCCCGTCCCACTATGTTAGGGCAGTCCAGGAGCTGAAACACACAGAGCAGTGACAGGGGTGCCCGTCCGGTAGGACCTCAGCACCGCGCTGGGCTGGGTCCCACCAGCAGCACAGGGCGCGGGCGCTGTCCCAGGCAGCCGAGCCCAAAGGCAGCAGCGGCTGCAGAGCGCCCCTGGGCTCCCTGCCCTGTGCCACAGGGCACACGGCGCAGGTTGCTCGCCCGCTCTGCTGTGCCTCCCAGCCCTCCGCAGTCTCTGATTCCTCGGCCTTCGAGGAGCCATGATGGAAGAGTGAGAGCTGGCACAAAGAGGGACACGAAAAACAGGTGGGGACAAGTGTCACCCCAGCAGCAAGGGGCCAAGGGCATGCAGCGGAGCCCACCCTCTGCCCCAGCTCCACCGACTGGGCTCCCCCCGCAGCTGCGGCTACGAGAGGGCAGAGTGGTGGGAGGCAGCTCAGCGAGGCAGCGCTCGCCATCACGCTCACCTCGACAAGGAACGCCATGGCAGGGACCTCCCAAAATCCTGCTGAGCAGCTTGACCAGGTAGCGTGCGATCGAGTGACACAAGCTGCTCGAGATACCGTGCATCTCTCTGGCAGGGGGAAGAAGGCACCATCGACCCTGAGCAGGGCGGGCAAACCTCTCCCAGGACTGACTCACAGAGGCCTGGTCTTTCCCCACCACCCCTCGCCAGGAGAAAGGCAGTGCCCAACACCAGCAGGCTCCTTTTGGGGAGGAGCCTGGAAAAACACACCCTTCCTACCTACCCCAAAGCCTTCCCTTCTGAGGAGACCCCTTTCCTGCCCACGGGGGACTCATGTCCCCCAGGCTCTGCCGCTGGCCCTCAGTGCATCCCGCCCTGCCCTGGCGGGCTGCCCTGAGTGGGGCTGCACGCCGACAGACAGCACCCCTGTGCCGTCAGCCCAGGCCCCATGGGACAGGACGCTGGCGCTTTGGGAGGTGGCTGGTCCTGGGCAACCCATCTCTCCAGGCTTTTCCAGTCTGCTGGGCCATCTCTCGGTGACAAGTCCCTCTCACCCACGACCAAGGGGATTGTGTGGGGCGCCCCGTCTGCAGGGGAGAAATGGCGGGGGGAGTGGGGAGAAGGGGGCTCTCACCTGGCCAGCAGACCCATTGCGCAGTGGTGGGTCTCAGCGTTGAGGAGTGTGTCCCAGCCACGCTTACGTTCGACTTCAAGCACCACGTCCTCATACTTAAGATGGCAGAGCAGTGCTTTCACGGTCAGCACTGCAAATCTGTGTGCAGAGCAAATCCCAGGTCACGCTGGGAGCCCTGGCCCCAGCTCTGGGGCCATGGGAGGGATGGGAGGACTGGGATGGAGCACCTGTTGGGGTTGGTGGGAAGGCAGCCTGCCTGCTGGCATCCCCTCCAGAAGGTATCGACCTCCTCTGGCATCTGCTCTGTGCTGAAGAAAATTTGGAAGAGCAGAGCCAGAAAGAGGCGAGGGAAATGCACCTTCAACCACCGTGGGCGCCTGGGCAGCCGGAGGATCTCCCACAGCGCCCTGGTTGCCTGCAGAAAACAAAACACCCAGAGACAGCACTCAGTGCCGAGACGTCCCCGTGGGACGGGGTGCCGAGCGTGGGAGGGCGAGGCTCAGGAGCTGCCCTGGGCCACGGGAGACGCAGGCGGAGCACCCGGCCCGGCTGTCCCTAAACCTGTCCCTAACCCAGGTTTCCAGCCCACCGTGTGAGGCAGGGAGATGCACTGGCGGGGGAGAATGGAGAGCCGCCCAGAGAGGCGACCCTGGGGGTGAGCAAAGGCCTGGTCCGGAAACTCACAGCCAGGGCAAAGACGTCCTTTTTGTCCCCGTCGGAGGTGG